ATAAATAAATGTTAGTACATATGTAAGAAAACCACTATATATAGTACCTAAAAAATTGCCATAAATTAAGTTTATCAAAAGAGAAGCATCAAAAAGTGACGGGTAATATTTGAGCTTGATATCAGGAAAATTGGGTGATCATTATTGATTTCATGAGTTGCATTAAATCTAACAATTAAATGCACTTCCACTTTTGGCGTGGTTATTAATTAAATCTAACAATAATTTCATATTTTTCTTACTTTTGTTAGGTACTGAGAAAAAATAAAATACTCTATTTTCCGTTTTGGTGATTTGAATACTATATGTTTTAATAGAACAATACACATTTTTTAGGTTTATATTTCAATAGATGAATATATTATATGTTTTTTAGTATAATGGTATGCTTTTATAAAATATAAAAAATATCTTTCGAAAATATCCACTATTTAAAACCTTGCATGTAACCACTCAAAATATCTGTTATTTAAACTCTCGTATGCAACCACAAGAAATATCCGTTATTTAAAATCTTGCAAGCAACCACGAAAACGAGACCCAGCGAAAGAAATCATGAGGCCACATTTGTTTACGTAGAGATCACGAGGGTTCAATTGACAGTTTGACGTAATACGATGCAAATCAAACTCCAAATTAAGTGAAGAAAACCAAACCATGTGTTGTGAGCCATTCGAGCTTGACTTCACGTAGATGGAATTGGATCCTATTCGGATTCATTTTGTGGGAATCTAAAAGATTCTCACATTTTAATCATTCATTGTGTATCTTGCGATCAAAAATTATTTAATTTATTCTATTTAAAATTTAACATAAATAATATCTAATAAAAACTAATCGTACAATGCACGACGAACAATTAAAATAGGATTTGCTAGAAAGTGGATTTGGAAAAAAATCCTCTTCTCACGTAGATATATAGATTGATCACATCACGTTACATCACATCACATGGATGTCCGCGTGTGTCGTTCCAATAACAGCTAATAATACGAGTTAACAGCTAACATGTGTTTGATGTGAGAATTACACGACCTGCCCTCCACCCATCTTAATCAAGACAAAACCGAGTTTTCACATTGATAATTCATTATTCCATTGCAAATCTACATGTGGCAGCTGCCAAGCACTACGCGACTTCACTCACTTTCTAACCTATAAGTATTTTTGCTTCATTTATTGTAATATATACTTATCATTCTACTTATTATTATTAGATAAGTTTAAATTTTGAGATTCGTGTAGTGAATATGAACAAATCTTAAAATTCAAACTCATCTAACGATGATAAATAGAATATGAATATACATCATACTAAATAATGATGAGTAAAAATGTACTCTTCTAAGGGCTGGTTTGGTATTGTTGTGCTTTGAAAAAAAGTTGTTTCTGCTGTGCTATGAGAATAATCAGCTGTGAAATAAAGCAGCAAAGTGTTTGGTAAACTTTTTTTTAAAAGTGCTTTTGAAAAAAAAAAACAGTATTATAGTATTTGGTAAACTTTTATGTAAAACAGATGTGAAAAAAAACCAATTTTTCAAAGCTGAGTTTTGCAGCTTCTTGTTTTTGACTTTTTTTTCACCCAAAACTGTGAAAAAAAGCTGAAACTGAATGTTTACCAAACACAAAACAGCTCCCAGCTTTTTTTTATATCAACTTTTTTCAGAATCATCTCAATACCAAACCAGGTCTAACTTAGATAATTAAGATAATTATAGTCTTGCAAGCATTGAATTGTTTTGGTGATTGGATTTTATTTTTTTAATTCAACCTCGACGTCTGTATGCAAAATTCTTGTATAGTATAAAATAGTATAAAGTAATGCAATAAAATAATTAAATAAATTCTAGTGGAAGTTTCTTATTACCTGTTATTAAGAGTTGGCACTCTTTAATCATCTTTTCTCTTCACTAATCTTTTTACTCAATTCATGTCTTTGGTTATATTGGAAGATCTGTTGGCATTGGATGTAGAAAGCTCATGTGAGGGTACACACAATATCGGAAAAATAACATTCCAAATATATTTTATATACATGGGAATAGATCTGTGACACTACATTTTTTACACAATTTCTTACAAATATTTTGTAAGGCTCACTCCATAATGTACTTAAACGATCCAAACAATTTATCTTTTAAGTCATCTCTTAAAGATTAGGTCTACGAAGAATCACACAAGTTTGAAATCATATAATTGTTGGATTAAGGATTTAGGTTTTTTTTTTTTTTTGTAGGACCGAATTCGTTAATTTTCTTCACCGCAAATGAATATTTTAATCATTTTAGATTTGTCTTTTTTTTTCAAGAATGATCTATGAATATTGTTTTAAAATATAAATGACTTGGGTCATTAAAATAAATTTACGGAATAAGGCACACAAAACCTTTGTAAAAATTATGTAGAAAAATAATGTCACGGATGTGTTCCATTTATATATCCCCAATATTGAAAAGGGGTGTGATATCCACACGCCTTATTTCACTTTTCACACATCCTTTTAATTTTCAATCATCGGATCAGATGAATTAAAAAAGATCAATGAATATAAATTAACAAGAGGTGTGTAAGAAGTAATTTATTCACACACCCCTGATGAAAATAAGGAACTGAGCATGGGAGTTTTGGGTTAGCATTTAATATATTTTTAATGTCCTGAGCTATGAATTGAATTAGTTGTCACATCACTTCGTTTGTTAATGTGGTTTTAAGATCGAAGCTACTGCGTCTGAATTATTCTAATAAAAAGACATTCATTTACTCTGTTTGAGGAAGCGAGCTATGGCATCGACGTACAGAAAACCCTTAAATTTTCTTCCAAAAATTTTACTTTCAACATTGATAATTTCATAAAAAAAATATATGGACAAATATTAGAGTACATGTTCTCATAAAAGTGAGGATGGTTCTATCGCACAATTCTCTCAATTTTCGATCGTTAGATCAGATGAATTAAAGATATCCAAATGACAAAAAATTGTGTAGAAAGTAAAAATTAGTGTGTGGACAACACACCGAAAAGCTAATGGTTAAAAACTTTAGAGTATTGCATACTTCAGAGCACCAACTTTTATTAAAACAAAGTTTATACTTTGTTGTGTTGCAAACTATAATAAATAAACAAATTTGTATATATGTTGTTTCACACCTCTCAGGATAGATATATTATTGCATACAACCATTGTATACAACATGTATTTAACAAAGTTTAAGCGACTAGCATATAAAAGATTACGCGACTAGCTTTCTTGTATACGACGATTTTGGACAAGATATCTTCCCGAGAGCACCATAGAGTTCTTCCCATTGTATCGTGTAATTAAGCCAACCGCGTATTTATATACGACGATTCGTGACAAGATTTCTTCCCCAAGATCCTAAAACCTAACCATGATCATAATTTGGTGCGTACAAATCAAAATCCAAGACACACAAGCTTACAAGTAACAAGGGCAAGATAGGCCACCCAAGCCGACCAAGGTTTTACAAGATCCTTGGCAAATGGATTCACACGCCGAAAGTACTTTATAGCAGACCAAAACCAAACAAAGGAATTGTCCAAGCCAAGCAGCCCCAATCCGGAGAACAACAGGATCCCACAAAATGCTCAATGAATTTTGAGCAATGCATTGGACTGTGCATGGAATCCGCCGTCGGCCCAAACAAGCCATGCTGAGAGTCCCTTGAGGAATGTGGAGAACAATGAGGGCAGGTTTGAGATTGCATTCACGGGGCTAAAATTAATTTCCTACAACCAAAGAGTTGTTGATTATGTTTGATATAAAAGTTTAAACGTGATTTTGGGTCCTATAAGCGTTTTCTGGAAAAAGTACTTTTGGAAAGCATTTAGATTTTTATTTTTATTTTTCCTAACATGTTTATAGTAGAACGCATTTTTAGCAGAAGCACTTATTAGCATAAGTGGTTTCTACTTTACTCTATGCATTTTGAATTAAATAATTCCATACATCAGCCTAAAGGTGGGTTCAAAATACTGAAAAAAGAAAAAAAAAAAAAAGAAAAGAAAAAAAAAAGGAGACTAAACACCAAACCGAAAATAAAAAACCAAACCAAACCTTATTGATTTGGTTTCGGTTTTGGAGCTTCAGAAATCGAATCGAACCGAACCAAACTGAATCCCTTTACACTTTATAAATGTATGCCCATGATGTTTCTTTTGTGAAACTTTGTTGCCAAGTTTGAAACTAAGCCTAGGGCTTTTTCAAGGAGCATAATTGGTTCAATTAGGGAGACTATTTCATTGGTTATAAAGGAAAGTTTTGGAAAAGTTTCTCTATTTGTTTGCTTTTTGAATGGATACGGTAATCATTTTTCTTTGCAATTAAGGTTGTTGATAGAATATATTTGGTTTATATGATCTTGTATGTGTACAACTATCTTCCCACATTCCCACTTTCTCTATTTTCTTATTATTAGTCTACTAATGCAAACCTCTTTTCTAAATTCCATATTAAAAAAAGATCAAGGTTTATAAAACAAAAAAAAACCGAAACTGTACGAAACCGAACCGATAAAAACCAAATCGAAAAAAAAACCGAAAGAAAATTGAACCAAACCGAATGACAATGAACTCACCCCTACGTCAGCCTATATAAAAATACTTATTGAAGAAACTCCCATACATTTACTTGAGTTTGTTTTTTTTTTTTTAACAAACATATTATCTACACTAAGGGGATAAGGTGGGTTTAGTCTCACAATGAGCTAGCAAAAATATGATTCAAATTTGCCATTTGACAAAGATTGAACTTAAGACATCTTACTTATAAGTGAAAAGGAATATTACTAGACCGTAGTAATAAATAACTACATTTACTTGAATTAAAATGGTTATTTTCACTTGAGCATAAAATTTTTTGCTTTTCTTTTTCTTTGCTATTTTTTCAAAAACAAACGAGAAAAATATCAGTAGTAAAATTCGTCCCCGGATAAATAAAAAAGAAACTGGATGATAAGCAGTAGGGACAAAATGGTAATTTGATAGCTTCACAAGGCTTGTGCTCCAGTTCCCCTCCTCTTCCAAGTTGCAACCAAATACCGCACACAATATACACACCTTTCTCTTGTACTCGCTGCACTGCACTGCACAACCGAGGGTCTCCAAAACCTTCGCAACAGAGCCTTCGAACATGGTAATTTCCCTTTTACTCGTCAAATTTTATCCCCACGAATTGTGTATTTTTCACTGATTTTGATCATATGCAGATTGAATCCCTTAGGGTTTTGAAAATTATATTATTATTTACCAGAACGTACCTTGGTAATTTACTCCGATCTGTTATTCGATGCTGTATATTTCAATTTTAGTAAGCTTGTGCTGTTTCACTGCCTTGAAACTTTGAATATTTTCGAGTCTTTTTTTGTTTCTTATTCAGTATTCTGTTTGGTTGCTGAGAAAATTCGAGAAAATTAGCGAAGATAATAACTTTTGATGTGTTTTGAAATATCTGCATTGTTTCTGAAATCTTTAATTTGAAGATTCATTTTGTATAGTATAGCAATTCCAGTCCTCGAAAGAGGGTCTTGGAAGCAGCACTGATGTTATGCTTCTGATTATTTTCTCTTTTTGTTATGCACCAATTTGTACTTCATTTTTCGCTAGCATGTCTATATGCTGTGATGAAATTCACTTTCTGCTGCCCACTATCAGTTCATCAAACATACATTTGGCATTCCTTGATGATGTGAAATTACAACATTGAAATAATATGGTAGTCCTTAACTATAGGAACCTACTACTATATGGTGTTTCGTTGGATCGTTTGGGTTTTGTGTCAATCTTACTAGCTTATCGGGTATTCATTGAATTGTAACTAGTAGAAGACTTGTTAAGAGCTGGTTTGGTACTAAGGTGCTTTTATAAAAAGTGGGTATCAAAAAAAGCTAAGCTCAAAAAGTTGTTTGGTAAACACTTAAAAACAACTTATTTTCACAATTTTGAGTGAAAAAAAGCTGAAAACGTGAAGCAGCAAAAATGAGCTTATTCTCACAGTACAGCAAAAGTAACTTTTTTTTCAAAGCACAGCAATACCAAACCAGCCCTAAGTGGGGGTAAAAATAACGAGAGAAGCTCAGTAGTGTCTTGCACACATGTCTTTAACTACTTTAGTAAGGAGGATTTGGTAAAGGCTGGATGACCCTACAATGGTGTGGGTCAGTGGCTTGAGATACACCATTGTCATCCTGAGAGTGTAATAGATTTTGCAAACTTATTCATAATGCATGCATGTGTATGGAGAAAATAATGGATGTTCATTGTGGAAGCTTGACACATAAGGACTAGAGAACCGTGAAACAAGTACTTTTACCATGTTATGGTTAAAGACAATTGCATTGATATGCATGTTGTTTAGAATTTCAATATTCTTTGTAAGAGTTTGAGTACACAAATGTATTCTTTGGTTGACGGAGATTTGGAGCATGTGTGTCTTTGGTGAATTTTGAAATGATATACAAGGGTGGAGTTGAGTAAGGATTAGAGAGCCATGAAACAAGTACTTTTACCATGTTATGGTTAAAGATGATTGCTTTGATATGCATGTTGGTAAGAATTTCAATATTCTTTGTATGAGTTTCGGTACGCAATTGTATTCTTTGGTTGATGGAGATTTTGGAACATGTGTGTCTTTGGTGAATTTCGGAATGTTATACAAAGGTGGAGTTTAGCTCATCTTTCTTTTGGTACATGGGATGTCAAGGTCACATTCGTAAACTTGTTGGATGAAGATGAAATATAATGTGCACAATATATAATATGAGGGTGTGTTTGGAGCAAGATTTAGGCTTACATGTTAGTGACAGGTCCAGTTGGGCATAAAAGAGCCCATACCATGCAGCCCTTTTGTTGCCTTTCGGGGTCAAAATAGAAGCAGTTAAACTACAGTCCCTTAACATTTATCTGCTGAGAATGGTTTCTTCCTGATAAAATTCCTTTCATATGAACTGACTATATATTTAATCTAATTTAGCACCATAATATGTACAATTGTTATACCATTGATGACAATTTGGTGAAGTAGCTCATCCATTTCTTTTTGGCAGGATGATACAGATGACCCAAAACAAAGCACTGCTGATATGACTGCTTTTGTGAGTTCTGGTTCTACTGTTTTTTGTTTATTCATCTTAGTTTGTACTACTTCTATTGCCCATATGGACGAGTATTGAGCATGTTGAGGCTGATGAGTATGTGGCTCTAAGTAATGGGAATCTTGACGGCAGAAATATATTTAGAATTGAATGATGAAGATATTTTCAGTTAGTTAATATGATTAATTTGTTGGTTTTCCCACTATTCATAAAACTATCATATGTGAGAATGCTAAGAGGGGTTTTTTTTTGTTTCTCAATTATTGCGTTTACTCCGTATACTTGGTGGTTTTGATGGCCATATGCATTAATATTGTCAATCCATTTGTGTAGTAGTATGATAGCAGAATTTTATACTGCAATCGAAGTCCCACCCTTTGCTTAAGCTTTCGTTTGTTTTTTTTCAGGTACAAAATCTTCTTCAACAGATGGTGAGTTTGTTATTCATTTGTGACGTTTTTTATTTGCAATGAAGTTCAATGGACTGTGTGGCTTATGTTTTGAGATTTGCAGCAATCCAGGTTCCAGACAATGTCCGACTCCATCATTACAAAGAATATCCTTTTTGCTTACTAATTTCAAAATTGATATTATTCTACACTGATTTTACGAAGTATTTTATTGTAGCTTTGTTATATGATATTAGAGAGCAAAATTATTAAGTTGGTGCTGGCATTTTAATTTGGTCCATATGGCTGTCCTAGATTTCTGTTCTCCTTGCTTGGTAGCATATGAGAACATCACATAAGAATCTTGAAGAATGTTATGGATTATGATTAATCAAATCATCTTTAGTTTTTTCTGTCAAGTTCTTCAGTTGGTGGACTTTGTGATTGGTGATACCTGTCATGTTTAGACTTGATTGATAAGGTTAGATGTGTTCTTTTAATTGTTGTGGGAAGCATGTCCGTTTGACCCTTATCTGTTTGTTTATCACATTGGATTTATTCTATGCACATTGCGCGGGACTTGTAACTTTGTAGATCGCATTGCTTTGGATTAAGTTGGTTCTTGTTTCCTTGACCTTGATGCACTTGATGAGATGGGCGGCAGGATCGACGAGCTGGAGCAGAGCATCAATGACCTCAGAGCTGAGATTGGAGTGGAAGGATCACCATCTCCTTCAGCCTCGTTGAAGCCAAATATAGAGCCCAAGCCAGCGGATGATTCAGCCAAGGAGTAACTATGTCATGCTGTGTTAGTACTTGTTTTAATCGATAGGATGTGTTTACCGCCTGATTTTGAGTGTTCGATTTGTTGTTTTTGGTTCGAAACTATCCTGTATGGATTATATCTCGGAGCAGATCTATACTCCATGGATTTCTGAACATGACCAAATTTGATTCTCATTTTCTGTCCGTCTTCAAATTTCGAATTCCTGGTTGGTTTGCTTGAACTTTCATCAAAATGAGTTATGTGCCACGCACGTAAGGTTAGAATCAAGGGGCAAATATGAAAAACTAAATGAAAAAAATTGTAAAATGGTTCCTCAACCTTAATCCAATTGAAGTAATGTTCTCTAAACTTTAATCCAATTGTAGCAATAATTCTTCCAACACGACTCATTTTGACGAAAGTTCTAAGAGTGTTGACGAAAATAACCATAACTGCACATTTTAAAGAGTTAAGAGACTAATAGTTAATAATTTTTAGTTGATAGATTATTACTCTAATTGAGTTAAAGTTAAAATATCATTGCTACAATTTCCTCTAATGCTTATAGTGGTTTATGGAAGGCTAATGCGACAAAGACATATGAGGTGTCGATTTGATTAGATTGTATTGCATCTCACAAAAGGCTTAAAACATCGCCATAATTGACAATTCTGTGCTCTCACTGTCACTGAGTTCGACCTCCCTCGAGTGCTTCACTGCATGTGGATGGCAATGAGATTTCCATACGGAAAAATATCCGGCGAGGATCATTTTTCTATGGATTTCATGATCTTACCCATTTATCGTACATCGTGTGGTCAGAAATCATTTTAAAATTTAAAATTTAAAATTAAATATGAATAGTACTTAAACAAAAATTAACCACTTGATATACGATGAACGGATGAGATCACAGGATCCCTAGTATCCGGAGGATCCTTTTCCTTTCCATACCATCGTATTAAAATGCCAATTAGAATGCGCTGGCTTTGTGACCGTTGGCAAACACTATCATCATATGATTAATGCTTTGACAATAACAATTTTAATTGTGATCCAGTTTTCATCAATGGAGTGTAATTAATTGATGCGGAACTTGAATGACTAAGATTGAAAATATATATTAAACAGTCGTGGAAATCAAATTTAATGACTAAAACACCCTTGAGTACTACTGAGCACTGAAGCCACATTGTCCAGTTGTTGTCCTACTTTTGAAATTTAATGTATAAAAGTAGCTGTTATTAATAGTCCAAAATACAGAATAGTTATTTTAGGGTGCCGATAACAGTTGCTTATATCAAATGTTTGTTTGTTTGTTTTCGAAAGAAAACATTTCTCTTGATAACTAACTAGATGAATAAATGAAGTCAAATTGTCTGGTATGAAAAATAAATTCATTTTGGTGAAGGTCGCATCATCCTTCGTACTAACATTTTCCCAACAAATAAAGTACCTACCTTTTAATTAATATCCACCCAAATTTGGTAATTTCCCATCATTTCCCTCTTTTTTTTTTTTTCTTTTTTTTTCTAACAAAAATAAGTTTAGGGCAAGATTTGGCTATTCTCATCGCCAACGTCAGAATATACACACAATCTCAAGGCAAAAAGACATGTGCATGACATCTAATTTTATGTATGAATTTATAGATCATGCACAAACAAAAATTGATGTCAGCATAAATCAAACTTGGATTAAGGATTAACCACAAACACGTCTTTATCAACAGAATTGACTCTCGCTGGTGTAAAAAGAAATTTACTCTATCTCATATCACTAGTTGCATATAATTACATATAATCATGCGCACAATATTATTCGACACATGGCACTCAGAAAATACGTCACGAACAAAACAACAGCCGAAATTAAAGTTTTGCATCAAAGTCTCATTTGCTTTATGAAAAAAAATCCAATCATGTTGTTAGATTCTTGTTTGGACTATAACACGACAGTTGTACACTGCAAGATACAGATCACACACCGCATTATTGCATTCCAAAAAGTCACATCCCGCAAATGCCCTTTACAACCCATTACGCGTTTACTCGAATCCGAATTTTTATCACAAATAATATCATTATTTTCTCTAATTTTCATCACAAATAATCATCTGGGTACCAATTAAAATATAAAAATGGATGACCAACAATGCACAAATAAATAATTAAATAAGTAAGTAAACAAGAGTGGTAAATTGGTATTTTAACATTACAATATAACAATAATCTCTTCAGGTATTTAACACACAATCTCCAACTAGACCCATTAATTATATAATTTTTAAAAAATAATAACAAAAAGAAAAGGTGGAAATTAAATTATAAAAAATAAAAATTGAAATTAGCGCCTGCAGCGAGTAATGGAGCTACAGCCGCGACGATAGGGATTTGCCTGAGCCCCAGGTCGGCAGTTGTAGTAGGACGCGCCACGTCGCGAGCAGGGGACAGTGTTCCTCCTCAGCGCACCGTAGCTAATGTACCTCCTCGTGGCTAAGATGCGCCGGTTGATCTCCGAGTCCATCTGCATCTCCGCATCCTCGTCCTCGTCAGCTATCAGTCCCCCCGCCGCCGATCTCGTCGAACCCCAGCTCAGCTCGCCCAGCTGGTGGCCGCCGCTGAAATCAACGGCCGAAGCCGAGGCAATCACTACCAAATGGGCGGCCATGATTGCGCAGATGAAGATGCAGGCAAAGAGTGATGGAGTTCTTGAGCTTGAGCTTCCCATTTTTTATTTATTTCGGTTTTTGTCTAAAATATCAAGTTTCTGAGAGGCAGTGGTTTTGCTGATTGGCTTGGGGGTTTATAAACCTAGTGACCGTTGGAGAGCAAATGCCACTGGGTTTGGGAGTAATTACGGGGAGATGCCACTCTAGTGACCGTCTTTGTAAGAATGTCAATGACTTTATGGCCGCCCGCTAATCACGCTTCTTTTGACTATATTTGTGCATTTAATTTGGGAAATTAATAAAACTGCCATTTATATTCTTCTTAATTTGGGTTGGTAGACGCATTTATATTCCTTTTTAATTAACAACAGCATCGTAATGAATGGAGTGTTCAAAGGGACGACGATACATGCTTCGACGTTAAAAAATACGTGAAGAAATATGTTGAAAACGTCATATGTCAGACGATGAAATGACGAAATATTTCTTGTGTTAAAAGATGAGTTTGGGTTGTTGGAGAATATATAAAATCTGTCAAGTGATTAGATTGATTTGCTGCAATAACTGAAAGAAAGAATGGAGATTGTCATAATATTGAATTCAAATATTCAAATCAAAAGGCTGAAGCCAATCTGTTTGAGAAATACTATGGAGATTCTTTTAAAGTGAAATTTTTTATGAACTCTATATTACCTTACAATTTAACATCAATTTCTACATCAATATTATAAAATATTATGTAAAAAACATAACCTGACAGAAAGTCTATAGATAGTTATATTTTTGAGCGAATCTCTTTATCATCTCTCAACTTATAAATCAAAATTTAATAAGTTTGGGAATCTCCAACACAAGTCTTAAATGGCAAAAACTACGTACCAGGCTTAAATATAAGGTAATGAATAAGTAATGTAATGATCCATGGTAAATTCCATGCTTACCATGCTTATAAGAAATTTGCATGAAGAGTTAAAAACTTTTTGATCACTATGTTTTGGATTGAAATCGAAATCTATATTGGTCATTGTATACCGAATTTAGTTAATTTGGTCATTTGAAATGTCAAATTGGTAATGTTTGACAACAAAATGATGAAATTGGCTTAAAAGCACACACACCATTTTTTTGTTTCAAAACAAGGTAGATTTTGAGGTTTCACCTGTCAGACTACATGTATGTCCAGATTTTGCTTTGGATGTAGGTCACAGTGTAAAAACTCACAATTTTTTTTTTAAGACTGATCAAGTTTAGTTTATTATTGCGAAGTTCTGTCATTGAGACATTTTGTCAAGAATTTGGTGTCCCTATCGACTTTTGTCGAGCTATGTTGTCGAGCCTTGCCAACATATGTTAAACAATGATGTCGAGGCCCATCAAGTATCACGTTTCGAGCCTTGTCGATATATGCTAAACATGCATTTTATCGAGTACTTGGTAGGTACTACCAGGTCTCATGCTAAACTAACATAGAGCTCATGAAAGACATTTCGAGTTACTTCCTATATTTTAGGGTCATGGGAGACTAGAACCCAACTGGTCCCTTAATGGAACCGCCATTGTCCCACCTAATTTTAGAGAGGCGACATTGTACACATGACTATCTTCTAGGATGGTGCTATTCACACACCCCTTTTAACTTTCCACACACCCTTTGTTGTCCATCTGCTAACCATCTTCATTCATTCGATCCGCCGACAAAAAATTAAAAGAGATGTTTGAAGTGAAAAAATGTGTGTGGATAGCATCATCCATCTTCTAAAATACAATGCCTACAAAGATTTTTAACCCCTTAAGTATGTATAAATTACGTTCAACGCATTTTGTAGGACTCTCATGTCACTGGTCTAGCTGAGCCCAAATCCTGTAACGGGTCCAGAACAACACACGCGCCCAACCGCGGCATAAAACTTTGGGGCAATAGGGTTTCGTCTGATAAGCCCAGTTTATAGTTATCACTGTCGCACTCCTCCTCGGCATGATTTTCGGTCTCCCTTGATCGTTCTGGCTGTAGTTATGGCAGGAGCTGGTAGATTAAGAGCATTTATTCTTGTATATGAAGTCATAGCTTTAATTCCGCCTTCCCATAATATTATAATATTGTTTGTACATAAAAGAGCTAGATTAATCCAAAATATTCGAAATAACCATATGTTCCACAAATATCTTGCGGATGAAAAAAACTGATCTAAAAGGTTGGAAGTGATGTGGTATTTGATATGGCATATATATGTAGCATTCTTGGCTTTGATGGACGCCTTGTTGACTGGACTAAGAGAGGAAAGGGTAACGCCTACTCGCTTATTTTGCTTTGTATTTTTTCATGGTCTTTTAAGATGGGTCGAAGATATTTTATTTATTCGTTCAATACAACGAGATATTTATATTAAGTAATGAGTCAGTCATAATAATTTGGTTAAAACTCGTATTGGCGAGAAATAAATTTAAAATATTTAACTTACAAATAAATTAATTAAATAATATTAACTAATATATATATATATATATATATATGTCACAAGTTTTATCAACATAGACATGCAGTGTTTTATGATGAAATTTTTCTTGGTGACTGAATATCAATTTTATCAATTTTTTATTTACGATTGTGGTTTATCATGAATTCACGAAAGGCCAAAATCATTTGGGCATACGAAAAAGTGGATTACCTCAGGCCAACCATTTGCTTTGCTTACCAACAACGTGGTGCCGCAACGTGTTTAATTACAAGTGGCAGGGTCTATCCACTCAGTAAACTGATGCAAAATGCCGAAACTACCCTGTACAAATAGAACAAGTGAGGGCACATTATAGGGTTGTCACAGGCCCAAAAGTGGAATAATAAAGCCAGGCATGCATAAAAAGCCAAGCAACTGGCATAATTTGGGTGACACAAAAACAACTCTCTTAAAATATCTTAGAGAAGTGTTATTAGTATTTTAAAAATCTTATTATACACTTTTTACAAGTGTATTTTTTTTCCAGGATACTTTGGATGCGGTCCCTAATCTTTAACATTCTTTGATTAAAACCTTAATAGTATTCAAAGTTTGATCAATGTCCCTTGGCTTTGTACACCTCATTATATTACTATTAATATTTATATTTTTATAGTTTTGACATTAATTGTTTGATATTTTATGAGATTTATAATCCTATAAATTTAAAATCCCTCATTATAATACTATTAGAAACGGTTACAATAAAAAAATTCAAACATTTTGATTGAATAAATGCATAAAAACTATGTAAAAATAAGAAATAATAAATGGCAAATTAAAAAAAATGGTACATTTTACATAAATGAGGGTACATATAAAAGATTAAAAATTATGAGTACAAATGAATATTTAAAAATATAGGCGCTAAAAGAAATTAATACATGGGTACAAAATAAAACTAAAAAGAAAATACTACAAATTAAAAAAAAAAGTTGCAAATTAAAAGTGGGTACAAACTAAAAATATAAATATATGATACAAAGTTTAGGCATAAAACATAAATATACCATATGTAATTTTTCTATCATTGATTAAATATACAATGTTAGCTTTTTGCTTGTCCTCAAGCAAAACAAAACTCAAAAACAAAGATAAAAACTAGCAAATTTAAAAACTTTATTAAAACTCAACTAAGACAAAATTTTCTTCTTCAAGTTGCAATCCATAGAAAATGTTAAAAACTAAAACATCTTTCCAAAAGTTTCAACCAATCCCACTATAAAGTCTAAGCCATTTAGAAACAATTAGAAAAGAATTCATGAACTTCGCTTGGTGTAAAGTGAACTAACATAGTTAGGGAGACTCGACTAAAATCCCTACCTTTCGTCCTCTTTATTTAAGACTTCACACATAATAATTTGATATATATATATATATATATATATATTTTTTTTTCAATTTTTTTTTAATTTTATTTTTCCAGTAACAGTAGTGGTCGTGCAATGTTAGTTCCCTTAAGCTTTCGATCCAACCCATGTAACGAGCTTTAGGTCAATGACTCCCAAACCACAAAGGTTTTAGGGCATTAGGCGTAGAACACCCCTACGGACTTATTAACTCGAGCTAAAAAGGCTACAAAGCCAACTAACTTCCCTGTACCATTTGAAGAAGCGTGTAAGCTGTGTGGTGATTGCCTTCCCGATTATATTGCAAAGGTTATTCTGTACCTGTTCAAAATTCATTCTCATATCGGACCCTTAATATTTTAGTGCTTAAAATAGTCCAGTACTAACTATGAACTGCACCTACTTTTTTGCATCTCTGGTCTCTTGCAGGACAGCACTCCTCGCATTGTGAAGCTACGGGACAGTATTGGCTGCCCGTGTGGTGCTACCCTTGTTTCCGATATATCAGAGAACAAGAGTATTATGGTAGGAATCCATTTGCTTCGATGTTCTTATGAATTGGTTGACGTCCCGAAATTTTCTCAAATTTATGAGCATGAAATGAGGGTTTAACGCAAGAATACGTTGGTCTACTCTTATTCAAGTGAGGTATTTTACTACTTGTACTGGTTACTCAAATACGGACAAAGAAAGGATCGACAAAGGTCTTCTACAGTATCGGGTGACTCGGGTCCTCTTTGTGTAATACAAAGATCTGGATCATTATCTAAAATTTATGTAACTTTTGTCATACTGTTCTTGTAAACCTATAAATCTTTCGGGGGTTTTAAACAATTCTGCTAAAAGCGAAGCAAGTGCTTGTAATTTGTTTGTATTGTCGTTTAATTAGTATATACGGAAAGAGACCCTCCATCGACACTCCATAGGCATAGACAAGGAGAGCAGTTTGTTTCGTACGAACAAGTCGAAAGCATCGCCATCTTCATTTGGATTTCCTGGTTTCAAGTTTCGATTACGAGTCGAAACACTTATCGGGCAGCTGGAAATCGCCAATGCCATGCCTGTGGCGTGTACTAGGAGTTGTACTTATGTGGTCCACAGTCCACATCAGGAAATGCTTGTAAAGCTTCGCTTCAAGTTTTACAATCTTCCTACATTTTGGATAAACTTACAAAATCATTGGAAATGAACAAAATTTGGACTACACATTGTTTTTCATTTGGGTGCTTAAAACTTTCGCTTTCATTGACAAGTGATAAGATCATAGAAATTATATAAAT